GATTCAGCTCAGGTGCCCAGGTAGATAACCACCAAGTGTGTGATGTAGGCTCTCACTTACAGTCCTAGACAGGCATGGGTGATTGGTGTAGGCACCGGCATCTGACTACAGCAGGGGGCCCCACTCTGAGCAAGGCATTGGGCTGACGGCCACCCCCGAGTGTCCAGGAGGAAGGGATGTCCCTGTTCCCTAGAGTGCGTACGTGGGTGGGTTTTGCAGCTGGACTGTGAGCACCTAATGCTGATGGCTGTAAGGACTGGGGGGCACCTCTTATTCATGGGCCCCATCGCAGGTGGCTAGGTGGCGTGGGTGAAGCCATCAGTCCTCAGGCCCCTGATGTGGGTATGTGAAGACCCTGCTTAATGGGCAGAGCAGTGTCAAATGTGAAGAACCTGCCACTTCACAGCTGAAACTGTTGAAGTTAGAGTTCCAGTATATACCCTGTTGTACTGTGGCCCACACAAGTCTATGCAGGGGGAAAGGAACTCAAAGTCCATGGATCCCTTATGCCTGTCCTAGGCAAAGGAGCTGTGCCTACCCTGGGTTCCTGGCTTAGAGGAGCTGGTGGTTTATTTTTCCCTCTGTTAATTTGTTCACTCTCCAAGGCAGGGAGAATGGCTTGGGGCATGTGACAGATCCTACTTCCAGCCCAGGGGACTCGGCAGTTGCTGAAGCCGGTCTGGGACCCAGTTCAGAGCAGAGAGTGGGGAGGTAAATGGGAGAGAGTTTTTTCCCTAACGGGGGTGTTTTTGATCCGGGCAGTAGGCCGTACGCAGTTACGTATCTTTCATCGATCCAGGGCTGCTTCTTACTGGTTCTGGGGGGCCGTGTAGACTCTCTGGCGCTGGGTCTCTCCCGGTGCAGAAAACGTGCCTCCCGAGCACCGCTGCTTGCCTGCCTCACCGCTTACCCCCAAGCTGATCAGGCCTGAAGGGCTCAGGCTCTCGCCGGGTCAGGTCTGGCAACTCCTCCACTGCATCCCAACCGTCTCTCCCTCCCCCTGCAACTCAGTCCCGTTCCTCAACTCTGTCTTTGATGTTCAGGGCTCCCAGATTGCCATATATAATCAATTCACTTGTTTTTTTGGGTCTTTGTTGTAAGAGGGTCCACCAGAAGCGTCTGACTGCTCTGCCATCTTGGCCCTGCCTCCTGTTCCCAAGAAAGGTGATCCATCCAAATGTGGAAATTATCAAACAATATCATTAATATCACACATAAGTAAAATTTTGCTGAAGATCCTTCAAAAGTGGCTGCAGCTGGATATCCACAGGGAACTGCCAGAAATTCAGGCCGGACTCAGAAGAGGATGTGGAACCAGGGGTATCATTGCTGATGTCAGATGGATCCTGGCTGAAAGCAGGGAATACCAGAAAGATGTTTACCTGTGTTTGATTGACTATGCAAAGGCATTGGACTGTGTGGATTGTAACAAATTATGGATAACATTGTGAAGAATGGGAATTCCAGAACACTTAATTGTGCTCATGAGGAACCTATACATAATAAATGCTTGCTAAATGCTAAATAAATTAATGAGTGATTTAAAATTCCAACAAGATCACAATGTGAGAGAGAGAAAACTGAAAATCACATGTAAGTCTCCGACTCCTCTGTGCTTTCATTTCCTTTGCTAAGTATAAATCCACAGCATACTCATTGCACTAAGGATAAGGACACTTCTTCTTCCCCTGTTGCAGATTCCTGGCACTTAGTAAGTCCCAGTGTTCTTTCTCAGTACCAACTAGGAAGCATCATGCCTCCTGGGACCCAAGAAGGCCAAATGAAGGAGCACACCAAAGCTCTTGACTAAGGTTGCTTACTGCTTGTATCTAAGTGATGTAAAAATAGTGCAGGCATCTTTTGCCTTCTAGGTGTTCTTCTATGCATTGATCTTTGATCTGATCTTCTGTAAGAGCTGGCTAGACTGATCTTATTACATGAAAGTAAATTGAACTACAACAACAAAAGTACAAACAGCCCAATCAAAAAATGGGCAAAGGACATGAACAGACACTTCACCAAAGAAGTGGCTAACACACACATGAAGAGATGCTTGCGATCAGTAACTAGTAGAGAGTTGCAAATCAAAACTACAATAAGATACCATCTCACCCCAGCAATAATGACGCCAATCAAAAAAACAGAAAACAACAAATGCTGGCGGAGATGTGGGGAAACTGGAACTCACATACACTGCTGGTGGAACTGTAAAATGGCACATCCGCTATGGAAAACGGTATGACACTTCCTTAAAAAGCTAGAAATAGAAATACCTACCATACCATCCAGCAATCCCACTCCTAGTTTTAGATCCTAGAGAAATAAGAGCTGTGTGACATCAATAGACATATGCACACCCATATTCATTGCGGCATTATTCACAATGGCAAAAAGATGGAAACAACCCAAATGTCCAAAAACAGATGAATGAATAAACAAATTGTGGTACATACATACAATGGAATATTATACAACGATAAAGAATAATGATGAATCTGTGAAACATCTCACAACATGGATGAATCTGGAGGACGTTATGCTGAGTGACATGTCAATCACAAAAGGACAAATATTGTATGAGAGCACTATTATAAAAAGTCAAGAATAGGTTTACACATAGAAAGAAACATTCTTGATGGTTACTGGGGATGGGAGAAGGAGAGAAGGAGAATCACCAAATAGATAGTAGACATGTGTTAATTCTGGTGAAGGGAAAGGCAATACACAATATGGGGGAGCATCACCAAGGCAAAGGAAGACACTGAGAGGTATGCAAGAATAAATGGCAACTATGGTAAATACTATAACATATACAGTCCTACAACAACAGTAATAACAATCAATTTGTGAGTGGATACGTAGGTAGATATGTATGCTAAATAGGTGTGGGAGGTCATATGGGAGCACACCCGAGTGCATATATAGATGTGGTCGTGGATGTTTCTACATACATGTTTGTGTGTGCTATAATAGAGCCCACGGGGGCACAGTCATGGAAACATCCTAGATACAACCAGATACCTCTCGAGACTGAGTTACTGGGCTTGAGGGCTAAGGACCATAGTCTCTGGGGACACCTAGGTCAACTGGCATAACATAGTTCATAAAGACAAATTCTACATCCTACTTTGGTGAGTAATGTCTGGGATCTTAAAAACTTTCGAGCAGCCATTCAAGATACAACTATTTGTCTCCAGAAGACTAATGGCCCACATAAACTGCAGCCTCCTCTAGCCTGAAACCAGAAGAACTACATGGTGCCCGGCTACCACCACCTACTGCTCTGACCAGGAACACAATAGAAGGTCCCAGTTAGAATGGGTGAAAAATGTAGAACAAAATTCAAATCCAAAAAAAGCAACCAGACTTACTGGTCTGATAGAGACTGGAGGAACCCCCAAGACTATTGCCCTGAGACACCCTTCAAACTTGGAACTGAAGCCACTCCTTTTCAGCCAAATAATAGACTGACCTATAAAATAAATAATAACACCCGTGAGGAATGTGCTCCATAGAACAATCAACTATACAAGATCAAAAGGGCAACATTTGCCCAAAAGCAACATGAGAAGGCAGGGAGGGGCAGGGAAACAGGATGAAGGAAAATAGGGAACCCAGGGTTTATTTATTTATTATATGTTTTTATTTTTTTAATTTACTTATTTTATATTTTTAAGACCTATTCTATTTTTTAATTTATTATAGAAATAAATTTTTAAATAAAAATATATGATTTACATATATTCTTGTATGTAGCAAATATTATAAAAATTGTAAAATATTTAAGAAGAGACCTACACCTAAAACCAAAGATGTCTATTCTTAGTTCCCTGCCCCTGTTCCACTTACGTTTGCATTTGCATTCTGTTTTCATGCTTTTCCTTCAATTTATGTCATAGTATTCTCTTAATTGGAATATACATATTCCCCAAATAAAGTATGGGCTTCTTGCTCCAAGTAGATCATCCTATGATGAGACAAATATCATATATTTCCCCGTCACTGTCCTTTCCCTCCCTAATCTCTTAAGATAGACTTGCTCCAATTATGAAGTAGCTGAGAGCAACAAAAGGACAAGAGGCTTTCTGGAGGCAACCTCATGGATAAAAGGCCTACTTTCAACTCCTGACACCTGAGAGCTACTAACTAATTCCTCCGGGCCCAGGGCTGGTGACAGTGCATCACTCCCTGCTCACTAGCACATGGACCAAGTATATGAGCCATTTGCTGCCCTATAGTTTTGAACAACATCAGAGACTTTTTTATTTTGATGCCCCATCAGTGGAGAAACCATAAGCAGAACTATCTTGGTTTTCCTTAGGCACCTGGGGAAAGGATCTGCCACTCCCAGTCTTAGCTAAGGAAAGGAAATTCTGGCAACTCCTTTCTGCATATTTTACTCCAATTAGTTAAATCTTATCACTGTTTTATCCTTGACTACTATATTTGATTCCATTTGAATGATAATCAAAGATCTGTAGCAAATATTTGGTTAGAATGAAATGATCAAACTGTTTTAACAGTTGTCATTAAATTATATTGTAGTCACTAACCTTTACCTTTTTTTAAATTGCAGACCAGAACAGTAAGTAAAAAAAAAAAATCATAGCTTTCTTCGAAAGACCAGAACATTCTGTCTTCTCATGGGTTATTGCCAATTAAAATAGTCAAGACATCATGTTAAAATACATACATACATGTACACAAACATACACACTATGTAGCTGGAATTTTGTGAAAGACTACTTTCTGCCTAGACCAGGGGAATGGGGAGGGGTTCTCAGATTCGGTACACTATCCTCCCACCCCAGTCTAAAGCTAATAAAAAGAGCTTGGATCCTCTACTTCTCCAGACTGTCAAATCCATGCTACTTTTGATCTCTGTCCAATCTCTAGGTGGTGTGATGGAAAGGAATTTGTCTTTTCCTTGGATTCACGGAGCTTTTGCTCTCAATAGGATCCAGACAGGTTTCTCATATTTGGCCACTTTGTCTTCCTAGGTCAATCACTTCCATCCGGAGTGAACTGATTCCATACCTAGTGAGAAAACAGTTCTCATCTTCCTCACAACAGGGACAAGAAGAAAAAGAGGAAGATCTAAAGAAAAAAGAGCCGAAGTCCTTAGGTCAGTGCTTGAGTTGGTATGGTAAGAGGGGCAGAGGTAGCAGCGCCTCTGGAGAGGGTGGCTTGGCAGCTTAGCCCAGCAAGAGATACCTGTTTCAAGGCAACAGACTCTTGTCTATCCTACAAGAGCTAGTTGCCCCCACTCCCTGGGTTCTGGCTAAGCTTGCTTACTCAAGCAGATCCTGTTACTGTGTTCTTCAAGAACAGGCCAGTCTTGCCTCCAGTCCCACTCTCTGGTTCTCAGCACTGGTTTGGCTAGAGTTCCTCACGAGAACATTTTGACTTTAAACTGTGCCTGCCACTTGTCAGTTCTCCTGTTCTTTGGGCTCTAAGCAGTCCCACTCCTGGGGAAGGAAGGTGAAAAAGTGTACAGTTACAGTCCAACCCGAAGCCACCTAGACTTTCTCCACTCTAGGATGTAGGACCGAGGTCTGTCCTGTTTGCTCTCATATCCCTAGCCTCTGGCCCACTTCTTGGGTTATAGCAGATGTTCCAAAAAATATTTATCAAATGAATAAATAGAGGCCGTATTGCATGATGGTTAAGATCACAGGATTTGACATTAGACAGACCTGGGTTTGTCTAATCTGACTCTGCCTCTTATTAGCTGTGAGTAATAAGAGGCAGGTTGCTCCGTCTTTCTGAGCCCTAGTTTTCTTATTATAGAATAAAAGATCTCAAAGGATTTTTGTGAGAGTTGAAAAACTAGGGCTCAGGTACCCTGTGTTCTTTTTGTCATAGCACAGCTAGCTGACATGGCAATAGGGACTAGCAGCACAAAGTCAGCGTGGCTGGTCGCTAAATCTTTGACACTTGCTTGTGTTATTTCATGATTTTACAGAAGTCACCTGTTTTATTTTCCCTAGTGGTACTTGACTATTGGTCAGACTTTCTCTCAGGACCTCGTTTTTAGTTCTTTTTATCATAAGATAGTTCAGACATACAGGAAAGCATACTACCTCATTTGACTTGATCTTTCCGGTTTTAGTGGATTTCCCCCAGGATCCATGCTGCATGGGTGAGTTCCAGGGGGAAATGTGTGGGCTGTACTCTCTTCCTGAGTCTATAGGCCCTCTGTCATCTCTCTTAACTCATTGCTTGGTTTGGGTGTTTGTTCTAAAGATATTTACAGTTTTATAAAAGAAGCCAATACACCAAACTTTGCTCCATATGATGCCTGCTGGAATGCCTGTCGAGGAGACAGGTGGGAAGACTTGTCCAGATCACAGGTGCGCTGCTATGTCCACATCATGAAAGAGGGCCTCTGCTCCCGAGTGAGCACCCTGGGACTCTACATGGAAGCAAACAGACAGGTGAGAGGATGAGTTTAGAAGAGGAATCGTTGAATCTTCTGTCCCAGGAACAGACTGAGCTTGTTGTCTTACTTCTTCACTAGGTTTACAGTGCCTTGTTCAGAATCCCTCTCATTCTCATAATTGAACAAGGCCTGGCGTGTCAGGGGAGACCATTGCAGCAAAAAGGAGCAGGGGAGGACCTGGTCCATAGAGGCAGGGCCTCACTAGCTCCAAGGGAAGGTTTAGATCTTCAGGAATGCTAACTCCTGGCTTCTGTATTCAGCAGCCTTCTCCTATTCTGCTAAGCATGGGGATATCTACAGTACTTATTTGATAGATAGGCATATAAATGCTGTGTAATCATTAGTGTAATGAGGTAAACATAGACACATAGAAGAGGCTTTGCTAAGAAGGTGAAATTTAACTGAGTTTTAAAGGATAAGTAGGAGCTAGCCAGGCCAAGAAGAGGGGAGAAATGTTCTGGGTGAGGAGAATAGCACGGGCAAAGAGAAAGCATGGGCCATTCTGAAAACTGCAGAAATTTTGAAATGACGGAAGCACAGAGAGGAGGGGGCTGGCAGGAAAGAGGTGGCCGCAGGAATAAGTGTGGGCCAGATCACAAAGAGCATTGTATGCCATTCTGAGGAGGTCACTGATTTTATCCTGTGGTTACAGGAGAATCCTTGAAGGGTTTTTAAGCAAAGACTAGTTAAGAGGCTATCCCAGCAATCCAGGAGAGAGATGATAGTGGCCATATGGTTGTAGAATTGACAGGAGATGAGAAAAAAACAGAAGGTACAATCTGCAGTTTTTGATCAAGGAGAATGAGTAACTAGGAAGTCAGTAGTGACAGCAACAAAGAGGAACAGAGTATAGAGTAGCTAGACGGCAAAGCCTCAAGGAAGGAATGTCTATATGAGAGAAGGATTGTCTGGAAACAGCACTAGGGAGTGAGGAGTCTTGCTGACCTTACTTCTTTTTAACCCTGAAGTTTATGAAATGTGGAGATGAGTACCTTCCATTGAAGAGATTTTCAGGGGAAGCACTATCCTAAAAGACAAGCCAGGTTTTAGTGAAGGCAGGGGATGAAGAGGGTGACAGTGAAGAGGCAGAGGATGTAGGAAAGCTTTTTACTGTGTAGTGGGTACGAGGGGAAAGGTTTTGTGAGGGAGGACAATAACACCAGGAAAGGAAACAGAGCAGTAAAGGGAAGAGGTGAGAATACGAGAAGATACGTGACTAAAGGAACTATACTGGGATGACATTCAAGGATTACAGAGATGAGATAATGAAAGCATTGACTGCTGACATTGTTCCTGGTAGAACTCTGTGAAAACTGTCATTGCAGGTGCAGGCTCGGGGGTGGAGGGGAGAAGGAGTGGTGATAAAAAGAAATTGGTGAAAATTGGGATAGAGCCCCTGAAAAAAAGCCTGGCCCAGGAGTCTTCAGAACCCACACCATGTGGTGGGTATAACCCTGGCTCCACAGTGGAGAAGAAAACTCAGACCTCAAGCTGCCCTCAGCCTGGATTGGTTATAGGCCCAAGGGAATCCAAGCCAGAGAGTGTATGATAAATCAAAGCTAGTCCCATGTTTACCTAGGGCATTCCTGGTAAACACAGGACTAGCTGTGATTTCTGTCTGTGTAAAGGTAGCCCCAATTTAGGAAGCTTCCTTAATTTGACATTTAGTTCTCCCTTTGGTCCCCAAAAATTCATGTCCTTGCCACATGTAAAACACATTAACCCTGTCACATCATCCCAAAAGTCTTAAATCAACTCCATGTCCAACATCTCATCTTCAGAATCACCTAAATCAAATATGGAGGAGACTTTAAGTGTATTCCATCCTGAGGCAAAATTCCTCTTCATCTGTGAACCTGTGAAATCTAGACTACAAGTTCTGTTTCTGAAGTACAATGGTGGAACAGGCACAAGATAGACATTTCCATTACCTGTAAACCCTGTTGCCATTGAGTCAATTCTGACTCATATCGACTCTGTCAGACAGGGTAGAACTGCCCTATAGGGTTTCCAAGGAGCAGCTGGTGGATTTGAACTGCTGATCTTTTGGTTAGCAGCCAAGCTCTTACCCACTGTGCCAGCAGGGCCTAATTTCCATTACAAACGAGAAATTGGGTGGAAAGAAGGGATAACAGGTACTGGCGAGAACAAAACCCAGCAGAACAATTTATGTTAGTTCTCAAGGCTTGAAAATAATCCTCTGTCCTTTGGGACCATCTGGACAATGGTCCCACCCTCCAGACTCTGGGTGTTGGCCATGCCCTCTGGATTCTGGGTAGCGAGCCCCTGGGCTTCAGTCAGCTTCACCTTCCAGGCCCACTAGGATGGCAACTCTGCTCCCTGTGCTTTGGCGGTGTTAATGGATTGAATTGTGTCCCCCAAAATCATGTGTTGTAAATCCTAACCTCTACGCCTGTGGTTATAATCCCATTTGGGAATAGGTTGTCTTTGTTACGTTAATCAGACAGGATTAGTGTAGGGTGTGTCTAAAATCTCTTTGGAGATATAAGTGATTAAACAAGCAAGCTAGCAAGCAGAGATATGGTGAGATAGATGCCAAGACACATGGCGATCTCCAGGGAACCTGGAAGCAGAAGCTGAAGGGCCTTCCTCCAGAGTCAATGGAGAAATAAAACCAAATTAGAGCTGGCACTCTAAATTTAGGCTTCTAGCCTCCTAAACTGTGAGAGAATAAATTTCCGTTTGTTAAAGCCATCCACTTGTGGTATTTCTGTTATACACTAGATAACTAAGACAGGCAGCCTCATTTTCCTAGTCTATCTGAGTGGTGGCCCCAGCGGGCCCCGTTCTTCTGCCCTTTGGACATGGCAATCCGACCCTGTTAGCTTTGGGCAGCTGCCCCATCCCCCTGGCACATCTTGACAGCAGCCCCCCACTCTGGAATCAAGTTGACGAAGATCCAACTCTGAAACCTAATAGGCTGTGGCCCCACCCTTTGAAACTGAGTAGGCCCTGCTTCCCATGTTCCTTCCAACAGTTCTGCTGATCTCCAAGCTGCTCCAGGGATGGCTCTTTTCTTTTCTTGGAGGACAACAGATGTAGCTCCTTTGGCCTGTTTCCTGCCTGTAGAATTCCAAGAGGCAGACAGCGTTCTCTCCTTTCATTCTTTCTCTGCCCCATTCAGTCTAAGCTGATAGATTTTCTGCTGTGGTAATTAGTTAGATCCATCAGTTACGGCTTAATCTCTTTAACAAAAGATTGTGTAACTACATCCTTGGCGGAAATTCTAGGACACGTGTCCTTAGTTTGTACAGCAGAATTTTCCAAACCTTTAAGTTCTGTTTTCATTTTGCACAGTTCATTTTTAAGTCCATCTCTTTCCTCTCGCATTTTACTATAAGCGGCAAGGCAAAACCACATGGTTCCTTGAAGGTCTTGTTGAGAAATCTCATCAGCCAGATATCCAAGTCCATCACTTTTATCTTCCATAAAACATTTGAATATAATTCAGACAAGTTATTTGCCACTTCATAAAAAGTGTCGCCCTTCCTCCATTGTCCAGTCACACGTTCATCATTTTCTTTTAGAGCCTCACCAGGAGCACATTTAACATCCACACATCTAGCAACATTCTGTTGCTGGAGCTATATGTATTCTCTAAGATGACAGAGTCTTTCTCTAGCTCTCCTCACTTCCTTCTGAGCCCTCACCAGAATTGCCTTTGATGTCCATAACTCTACCAACAGTCTCTTCAAGGCAGTCTAGGCTTTTTTAATATTAGATACCTTAACATTCTTCCAGCCTCTGCCCAATACCCAATTCCAAAACTGCTTCCATATTTTAGGTATCTGTTAGGGCAGCACCCCACTCCCAGTACCAAGTTCTGTCTTAGTTATCTAGTGCAACTATAACAGAAATACCACAAGTGGGTGGCTTAACAAAGAGAAATTTATTTTCTCACAGTTTAGGAGGCTAGATGTCCAAATTCAGGGTGCTGGCTCTAGGGGGAGGCTTTCTTTCCCTGTCATCTCCTGAGAAAGGTCCTTGTCTCTTCTGAGTTTCTGCTCCTGGTCAGTCTTTATGTGGCTTGGCATCTCTCTTTCCCTATCTCTGCTTCCTAGCTTGCTTATTTAATCTTTTATATCTCAAAAGAGATTGACTCAAGATACACCCTACACTAATCCTGCCTGATTAATAAAACAAAGGCAACCCATTCCCAAATGGAATTATAACCACAGGCATAGAGGTTAGGATTTACAACACGTATTTTTGGGTAACACAATTCAATCCATAACAGTTCTATTTTCTCATTTCTATGACTAGAGTTGGTTATGTGGTCTGGAAGCAGGTTCATGGATAGCCTGAGGCTGGAGAAGCATCCTCTGAAGCATCAGCAGAGGCTGTGCAGTAGAAGGGCCTGGAAGGCCTTGGTTGGAGTGTAATAGAGGAGATCCCAGGGATGAGACCTGGAGGATCACCCTTCACATTGTCAGTGTACTAGTGCTGGCAAGGCCTCCCTCAGCTAGTGTGGCCCACATACACTGTGCTCTAACCAGTATTCTGCCTGTGCTAGAGAATCACAGATAGGCACACTGAGTCAGTGAATGGGTAGGTAGCCAAAGTCTCCCAGTTCCCTTACCCTTTGTTGTTTTCTCATACTGGAGAGAGAACAATGTGAACTTCCTCTTCAACATTTTCTTTTGGCTGATACAAAGTATGGATGCCTTCTCAGGGTCTTTCCTGATTGTGAACTTTGTCAAACATTGCTCCCATCCTTTCCTCATGCTTGGGTATAGTGATCCAGTAGGTGAGCAGAAACCTGAGATGACTATGGTTGTGACTCAGGGTACACTTTTCCCTCATTAGGCCTTTTCTCCCAAGAAGTGCTGCCTGGGTATCTCAGAGGCTTGTCCCACCCCTCCCAGCTGAGGAAGAGGATTCTAGGGTAGGAAACTAAAGAGGAGGCCACCTGGGAAAGCTGGAATAATCCTATTTCTAGGTGGAGTGCAGCAGGCTCCTGCTCTGCCTCACCCAGACAGGAAGCTGGAGCTGAGAACTCCACACATCATGCCTCTGGTTAGGCACTGGGTTCTACGCAAGGAGTTTTCAGGTCTTGCTTTAGTGACCAAACCTCTTTTCTCCAGGTGCCCAAATTGCTGCCTGTTCTTTGTCCAGAAGAACCACTAGTCCATTCATCAGCCCACATTGTCAGCAAACACCTGGTAAGTACTAATGTGGGCAGGGCAGGCCTGGGACATTGTTTGTCCTTGAGAAGCTGGATTGGGACTCTGAAGCCTTGAAGCTCATTAACCCCAGGGAAATCCCAGCTGGGTTCTGGTTACAAACTCTCACCATCTAGCCCAGGCAGTCAAGAAGTCTGCATGAACAAATGCTGGCCCCAGCCACACAAATGCTGTAAGGAAGAGTCTGTTATACTTTTGGGATTTAAACACAGGAGCTTGCAATCTCTGTCCCTCTTACTCCCCTGATTTGAATAGTATCTTCACTTCAAGAGGGCAGTTGATGAGGGACTGTGTGCACATCTGTGCACACAAGTACATGAGTGGGTACATGTTTATCTGTTTTTTTTGTTTTGTTTTGTTTTGTTTTGTTTTATTGGCAAGGGAGTGCCCATGCTTTAATGTAGATTTGAGTTGGTCTCAGAGGTATTGTGTGACCTTATGACCCTGAGAAATACTGATGGTCCCTGTTAATGAAGTATGTCTTAGAAAAAGATCCCACTAGACTCTGGCTCAAGCAATCTGGGGGTTGGTTTCCAGTTGGTTGAGATGAATGGACCAGGTTTTATATTTGCCTTTTGCAGGTTGGAGTTGACAGCCTCATTGGGTCAGATACACAGGTTGGAGAGAAGTCATCCATCAAGCGCTCGGTCATTGGTTCATCCTGTGTCATAAGAGATAGAGTGACTATCACGAACTGCCTTCTCATGAACTCAGTCACTGTGGAGGAAGGGTATGTTTCCCCTTGTACCCACTTGAGGCAAGGCTTCAGGTACTGAACCAGTCTAGCCCAGAGATTAGCTCACCTTGGGGAGGGGAAGAAGGAGAAAGGAAAGGAAGGAATAGCACCTAGGCCCTTTGGGACTTCGTTTTGGCTCCTTGATGACATGGCCTCTCAAAGCATTTCCAAAGCCCTTCTTATAACAATTGTGGTCCTGGAAGAAGCTGCCTTCTCTTACCTTGATATCCTGCCTGATGGGGATGGCCAGAGCATTTAGCCACTAGCAGTGCTGGAATGGCACTGCATCATTGCTTGAGGGCCACCATTCCCTTCTCAATATCCCAGATAATCCCTGAAGAAGACAGAGGCCTAGGAAGAGTGGATGTATGAGCCATGTATTATTTTTTACTATCTGTGAGGATGGCACAGGACTGGGCAGCGTTTCATTCTGTTATACATGAGGTCACTATGAGTCAGAGCCAACTCAACAGCAACTAACAACAACATTTTTAAGAAGAGCATCTCTACAAGTTGTAGAGAATCATTCACATTTGGAGACACCTTAGAGTGTCCTAAAATCTTGGTTTATGGACAGCCTGAACATGGAGTGAGAAGACTTGAATGATCTTTAATGAGTTTCTTTCTCTATAAGGACCTCAGGTTTTTCCATGTATAAAATGCAAGCATGTTGTGCTTGTTGTTAGTTGCCATCAAGTCAGCTCCAACTTATGGTGACCCTTATGTATAACAGAACAAAATGTTGCCCAGTCTTGTGTCGTCTCCATGATCGTTGATATGTTTGACTTTGTGTACCTTCCAATCTGAGGGGCTTATCTTCCAGCACTATATTGGTGTTCTGTTATTATCCATGAAGTTTTCATTGGCAAACATAGGTGGTGGAAATAAGAAAGGATATTACCATATCAATAACTGTTCACACTTTTTAAAAAGGAAACTTTTTCTTAAGATAAATCTTATGCAGAAGCCCAGTGTTTTAAACTGATAAAAGCAGAGTTGCTCAGTGTACAGAGGGTAGGGTGGGGGGTACTACTCTTTCTGCAGGATGTGAGGCAGATTCATAAAACAAATTTTGAAAATCACTAGAGTAGATCAGCCTGAGATTGATTCTAGCTCTGATATTTGTTGATTTTTGTCCAGGAACTACCTCATAGGTTTATAAATGAGTTAATAAATATAAAGCATTTAGAATAGTGCTTGGTGCATAGATGTTAGCTACTGTGTTGTTGTTTTTGTTATCATCACCTTATCCCATTTCACAGAGATGGCATATTGCCAAAGCTGTCTTCCTAAGGAATGTCTCTGATCATGTCCCTGTTCTATTCAGAAACTTTTGAAGGCTCCTCATTACCTTTAGAATAAAGTTTGAACTTCATTGTATGGTTTTCAAGATCCCTCATGATCTGACTCTAACCCCTGAGTCCTGGAATGTTAGAGTAAGATGGGGCCTTAAGGAGTCATCCAGCTTTACTCCTGCATTTTTACAGATAAATAGACTATAGCATTCCAGACTTCTTTCTCATTGCACCCCTGCTACTTACTCCATGCACCATTCCAGACTCCTGCACTAGCCCGACAGACATTACCTCCTTTCTCTTTTGAAAACCAGAACTACACTTGCCTTTATCCATTTGATCACCTTGTTCACAAGTAGCTCATGAGGCTTCGTAGTTTCCATTCTCTGTTGTATCTTGCTTCAGACCTTCCAAAGAAGACACTGCCATATCTTTCCCATTTGCTATAATTAGCAACTTCTTCCTCCCTTCCGGTGAGTGGAAAAGACTAAGGAGCAGCTCTGTAGTACCACCTTAGAGTCCAAGGATAGTGTCCTGAATTGACATGAAGAGGTTTGGTGAGGAAACTATGGCTTGCTAAGAAACTCTAACTTATATGAGAGGAATTTCAAAGAAAAGGCCCAGAGTCAGTTGCTATTTTGGAGAAGGCATAGTCATCCCTGGATGGTCTGATAAGATTTCTATCTGGGGAAACAGTAATGGTACAGATGGCTGCTGCTGCTACTTTTTTCACTAAAAAGATTGAGGTAAAGCTATAGGCAGCCCATACTGGGCTAATGACTAGGGAGACCATTAGAGATTTTCCAGTCCTGCAAATTAGCTCTTGGTGATAAGATCAGATATCCTGCAACCCAAATGAACTTTTTTCCATTATTTGGAGGTCATTTAGTTTTAATTACTTATGGTAAATTTGGGAAAGGTAATTCAATTATAGTGCTACGAGACTTGATTACCCTGCTGCTATTACGTCTGGACTGAGTGGCAGAGTGGGAACATAAATTTGTCCAGAAGGGAGTTTCTTATATTCTTGGCTTGCTTGTCTCTGCCAGCAGTGGTGGACTGCTGAGTGGACTGCTGAGGCTCTATGGACAGTGGCTTGGCCATCTGCCCAAGGTCCTCAGGGCTTAAGGGATGCTAATAGGACCACCTTGGAGAAGGTGTAGGCGGGACTATGCAGAGAAGGCTCCTGTCTGTTTTTCTCATTTTCTGCCACTTCCAATTTATATGACACCTGATGCTCAGGAATCCAAAGTCTAGTAAAAATTTCATTGTTGAGGCCTGAGTGTCAGTCCTGTATTCTGACCAGGTGCCCTGTTCCTGGACAACATCTGCATTTCTTCTTTGTTGTTGTTAGGTGCCATGGAGTCGATTTTCAACTCATAGCGACCCCATGTGACAGAGTAGAACTGCCTTATAGGGTTTTCTAGGCTGTAATCTTTACATAAGCAGATGGCCAGGTCTTTTTCCTATGGAGCCACTGGGTGGGTTCAAACTGCCAACTTTTCAGTTAGCAGCCAGGTGCTTAACCATTGCACCACCAGGGCTCCTCATTTCCTCCTAGTCCAAGGCAAATGACAAAAGCAGCAGTCTAGAATAGCACCTTCACATGCAGGCAGGCCAGGGAACCAGATTTTCACCTAGGTTTCTGTGCCTTCTACAGATAGCAAGTGCAGCCCTCAGAGCCAAACAAGATACTGCTGCTCCTCGTTGTTACACTCGGAGTACACTTCAGCTACACTCAGCTGACTGCCCTGCCCACTGGGTCCCTTCTTTTCCACCTTTTTTTTACTCCTGGCATTCATTCTGCTTGAATTCTGTCTCTCTGGAGGTCTTTACCTGTAGAAATGCTACCCATCTTTCAAGGCCCAATGCATATTCCAACTCTTCCATGCAGCCTTCTTAAAGTGTCATAGCCCAAAATTATTTCCCTCTCCTTTGTGCTCCCTGTGCTCCTGTAACACTTTACTTGTGCTTATGTGGCACTTATCGCATCTTTTCTTTTTTCCTCAGACGATAAATTCCTTAAAGAAAAAAATACTTCTCATATGTCTTTGTATCCCCTAAGCCTCTAATACTGCACTTTATATATGCTAGGTAACCTGTAAGTATTTACTGAATGAAGAATGGAGATCCCTGATTTAAACCTCCTACTATAATTGACTGGGGCCCTGGTAGCCCAGTGGTTAAATGTTTGGCTGCTCAAATGCACCAGCTGCTCCTTGGAACCCCTATCGGACAGTTCTGTTCTGTCCCATAGGCTTGCTATGAATTGGAATTGACTCAGTGGCAACGGCTTACAGGTAATTGACTAAATATCTTGTCAAGAGAGCCCTCTCTACTTCTAGGAAAAGTAGTGGAGTAAGTGCCTAACTCCTTGAAACTCACCAAAATGGAAAAAACAAAACAAACAAACACACACACAAAAAAAAAAAAACCAGAAGGAAGCTTCTAAGTAACTGCCACATACCCGTATACAAATTTAAAAATATCTACAAAATATAATGAAATTTAGAACCTATCCAAAGAGTACAAGATTCAGCCAGCAAAAGGAATGAGGGCATAGGTAAACCAAAGAAGAAATGACAAGTACCCTTTTTGAAAATATTGAGGCATACAGAGCTGAAAGAAAAACCATGCAAGGCACATAGAAAGGGAAAAATCACACTGGTCTCAGACTTCTCCATGGCAACATTTAAGGCCAGAAGACAGTAGAACGACATTTAGAGAATTTAGAGGGAAAATTATTGTGAATTGTATAACCAGTCAAGTTATGGTTTATATATAAAAGCATCAGAAATATTCCAGGGCACAGGAAATGTCTCACCTATAAATCCTAATGGAAAATTCTACTTGAAGACCTAATATAGCCAAGTAAAAAATGAAACAAAATAAACTATTGACAAATGGGTAGGTTGAGGTATAAAATAAACCCCTTAAACATAAAATTAAGTCTGAGGTAATTGGAGTTGCAGAAAAGAACATATTGTTAAAATAATTCTGTCTACATTTCTTCTTTAAAAACACCAAATTATGAAATTTTGGGACGTTCCCCTAGACTTGAGGGGCTCCTGAGAACTTTTGGTTTATTCCCTGTCTTTGAACTATCTACACTAAACCCATCTTCTTAGATGGAGAATTCTATAACTTAATTCTTTAAGGCTGTCAAATCTTTGCTTTGATTCCCCCAAGATCCCTGTTTCTTGGAGGGGCAACTGGGAGTTATTACTTGAGAGTTTCTGTTTAGGGGGATGAAAAAACATTTGAAAATGGATAGTGGCTATGGTTTCACAACATAATGAATGTAATGAATGTCACCAAATTGCACACTTTAAAATGGTTAAAATGGTCATTGTTTTGTTATATATATTTTACCACACACACACACACATACACAAAAAGTGGTGTTCTACAGGAGTCAGTAAACTATGGCCCATTAGTCAAATCTGGTCCACCACCTGCTTTTGTAAATAAAGTTTTATTGGCGCGCGCGTGCGTGCGCACACACACACGCACGCACACACCTTTTTCTTAGCCTCTGCTTAGGTAATATAAGGACTTAGATTTCTTAGGAGGGAGACGTTTCTCACCACTAGTTCTTTATATAGTAAAGGGAGGCACATAGAACTCAAAGCAGAAAACATTAGCCTGCTCACTGGAGCCTGTACATTTTTAATCTAGAGGACCCAAGGGCAAGAGTGA